TTCATCCGTCCTAAATTTCGCGAGTAAAGTTCTCCTTTGATAGGTTCAGCCACACCTCCATCATAATATCGGGAAGTCACGCGTTCTTTTGAAGCTCCATCTTGGCTGCAAGGCCACTTGTAAAAATACACACTGTCCGGGGCTCAGAAGCAGCCATTGCAGTCAGGGTTCTGCATTTTCGAAACAAAGAAAAGAAAATGAGCTTTCCGCAGGATCGCTTAATTTCGAGCAATATCATTTTCGTGTAGTTCATTGTGTTTCTTGTTATCGAGTCGCTTGTTTCGTTCGTCAAGCGCATCAGTTCATTTCATTTGAAGCAAAGACTTGTTTCAATTGACGCAATGAATGACTCGAAAACTGCTGCCTTCGTTTTTTTTTTCACTTTCACTTCAATTCGGGGCTCATTCGACTTGTCAAGCATCCCGTTATCAGGCATCAAAATATAGTATCCAGATAGTTAATATCGGTTGCCGATAGGGATGGCATCCGGATTATATTTGGTAATAAAATGTTGTTTTATATTAAACGAAAACTAAACTAACGAGGCCATTCTGGAGTCTGAGATGGCGGTCATCGGGCTCAGGAAAGCCACAAATACTCTGCAATATGGGTATTTTCAGAACGGGGGCGATAGCCGGCGCCGGTGGTATAGTGGTAAGCGTGACTGCTTTCTAACACCCCAATGGGTCTGGGTTCAATCCCAGCCGAGGTCGGTGGGATTTTTCTAAGGCATAAAAATCTCTGGTCACGTCTTCCGTCGGAAAGGAAGTAAAGCCGTTGGTCCCGGCCCATGTGTGTTGTGAATGGGTGCGATATCCTACGCAGGTGTGGAAGCTGCCTTCCTGCACATTCGATTGCCGTCAATGGATGGCAATCGATGTCCGTCGGTGATTGGCACTAGATTGCGGAACAGAGACCGACGTTAAATAAAGGAAAGGAAAGAACGGGGACGACGCGTAGATGCCGAAAATCGACATGGAATCCAAGATGGCAGCCATCAGTTTTCAGAGAACGTGTAAAATATCCTACAATATGGTTATTCGATATTCGACGTCAATTTGGAATCCAAGATGACGGCCATCAAGTTTCAGCAAAAGTGTCAAATACCCTACAATATGGGTATTTTTGGAACAGGGACGACGCGTAGAAGCTGAAAATCAACACTCGACGCCATTTTGGAATCCAATTTAGTGGCCATTGGTTTTCAGAAGTGTCAAATACCCTACAGAACGGGGACGAAAACCGATACTTGACGTTTCACGAAAAGTGTTAAATACCCTAAGATCTGCACACTTAGAAAAAAATCATGTAAATTTGGGTGCTCTGAGACTGGCATACACGAGCGTCAATTTTAACATAAAATTTAGTCATAACAAACGCAAAATTCAGATCAATCAAATGTACTTTACTTAGTAAAGAACTTTTCAGTCTCGGAGAACTTAGTTTTACATGACATGTTTGTTTACGTCTCATCGTTTATGTCAAAGATGGCCTCTAGATGTCACCTCGATTCCAAAACTGCTCGTATTGATTGGTATTTGACAGTATTTTACTCTTGTTATGAATAAGATTTTAAAATGCCGTCAAACGTCGGCTTCTGGCCGCTAGACGTTAGTGGGATTTCGAAAATACCCACATTGATGGCTAATTGACAGTATTTCCCACGTGTTCTGAAACCAGAAATCGCCCTTTGGGACAGCAAGATGGCGTCTGACATCGATATCCGACCTCTACGTGTCATCCCCGTTCTGAAAATACCCATGTTATTTGACACTATTTCTCAAATCAGAAGCCGTCGCTTCGGATTTCAAAATGGCGATATCGATTTCCAGTTTCTAGACGTTAACATGATTAAAAAAAAAAAAAACATATGTTTTTGAAATAATGATATAATTTCTCACTTTTCTTAAACCAGAAGCCACCGTCATGGATTTCAAAATGGCGTTGGATATCAATTTTTATTCTCTAGACGTCATCTCGATTCCAAAAATAATCATATTGATGGGTATTTAACAGTATTTCCCACTTTTTCTTAAACTGGAAGCCACCATCTTGAATTAAAAAATGGCGTCGCATATCTTTTTTTCCAATCTCTAGCCACCCCGATTGCAAAAATACCCATATTGATGGATATTTTTCAGTATTCAGTATTTTGACACTGAAGAAGTCTGCATATTGTAGACGAAATACGCGTATCTGTCAAGGATATGCAAATAAGGTAGTAGAATTAAATGGAAATTAATATTTTCCACTTTTTTTTTTATAAATCGGAGACTGCCATCAAAATGGCGTCGAATATCGATTTTCATTCTCTAGACGTCATACCGATTCCAAAAATATCTATCTGGACGGGTCGGCATCAGTATTTCCCACTTTTATTTAAAAAATCAACGATTTCCGGCCTCTAGACGTCAATATTCTTCGAAAAATACCTTCATTGATTGGCATTTGACACCGAAAAACCGACATGGAACTTAAACTTAACTCTTGATCGAGAATCCATAACCGACAGTTTCAAATGTGCAGCGATCCCATCTGTCAAAATCATATATTAGATAAAAATAATTTGTCCGAAATAGATCAGACACGAACCAACTCATAAATGTTGTACGCGTGTTCGTAGCTAGGATAAATATTTTCCACGAACACGGCGGCAGATGTCAGTTTGTGCTTTGATCAGACATTTATTTGTAATTTGTATGATCATTCATGTCGGTTTGTCGGTGGTAGTTCCGCATTTTATTTTAAAAATCAATTATTTCCGGCTTCTGCTTCCAAAAATACGGGAATTTGACAGTATTTCCCACTCTTTCTGAAATCGGAAGCTGCCATCTTGGATTTCAAAATGTCGTTGGATATCGATCTTCGGCCTCTAGAGGTCACTTCGATTAAAAAAATACCCATATTGATGGGTATTTGACAGTGTTTCCTACTTTTTTTTTAAAAAATCGGAAGCCACCATCCCGTTTCCAAAAATACCCATAGTATTCGGCCGAATATCAAGCGTTAAGCTAACAAAACTTCACTCAATCGTTTTGTCGACCGCTCATTTGTAAGAAAAAGGTCGAATATTAGCGAAACTTCGCATGTAAACAGCACCAAATAGCACAATTCGGTGCAGCTCTAGTATTTGACACTACTTTCCACATTTTCTTGAGCCGGAAGCCACCATCTTGGACTTCAAAATGACATCGGATATCGATTTCCGGCTTCTAAACGTCACCCCGATTAAAAAAAAAAATACACATATTGTTGGGTAAACAAACCACCCGTCAATGATAAATTTAACATCCACGTGCACATGCGCTTAAATGAGTGAACAATCAACAAAAGTCAGAAAATCTGAAATGTGAATCGAACAGTTGAAATGAAATACCGTTCCGATTCAAATTTCGGACGATTCAAATTTCGGACACTTTCATTTTGAATTAAATATTACATCCAGTTAGAAACAAAGTAATAATGTTAGATGATCGTGGAGGGCACTAGTCAAAAAAATTTAAAATTTACAAGACATGTGGATCATATTCGACCGAGATAATCAACTTTTAAAAGTGTCCGAAATTCGAGTTTTAGTATCCGAAATTTGAATCGGCACGGTACAATGAACACGAGTCAAGCCAAAAAAAAAACCGCATGAAAAGTGATCGAAATTGGTTCTGTTGATGTTGAAGGGGATCTGCTCGAAGATATGACGGAATGACTTTCAATTGTAAGTGATGGTTGACAGCTTCGTCGTCGCTTGACGATTTTCGATTGAAAGTGACTTTGTTGGCTCCTGATTGCAGTACAGCCCTCATGAAGACGAACCACAAAGGAAATGTGGAACCAGTCTAGCCAAAAATCACAGCAGATCCATCCAATTTGAGTATCACTGCTCAGACTTCATGGTTCAGATTCACACTTTACAAACTTCAGATCTCTATTTGCTTGACTTCTGGTTGTAGAGTCAAAGTCTTGATAGGTATCATCAAAACAATTCACTCGAGCAGCACCCAAGTAGAGAAAAAAAAAAATTAGAACAGCAAAAATAAACGTGACGTTCGTTCACAAGCACAGCCTGCTTTCACTTCTCAGGTGAGTTTGACTCTTGTCGGAAACCTCTGTTTCTTCGGTAACATTTCCATTTGATCTGCGTGTTAACCTGCTGACCTGTTATCGGCAACTCGGAATCAGCCGCATTTTGTATTGCATATGTTTCATTTAAAGAAAAGGCTGACAAAATGCGTTTGCTCAGTCGTAAAAATCGAATCAGATTGAAGCTGTTTAAATGTTGGTGCCGTAACCAGTCAATGGGTTTCGAAGTCAACACTTAGTTTTTTCTACCGAGCTCGGCTGGGCAAATCTCAGAAAAAAAAAAAGTTTTGCTGAGATCTCAATAAACATTTCATTTGTTTGCTGAGATTCAGCTAACCATTATCCGAGACTCAGCAATCAAATGTCATTTTGCTGAGTTCTCAGTGAAATTTTTTTTTGCCGAGATTTGCTCAGCCGAGCTCGGTAGAAAAAAAGAACTCCGAGATTTGCTCCTCATTTTTTATAAATCTCTGGTAAAAGGTTGGGACTAAGCTGCTCGATCATGTGATCAATTGATTTTTTAGCCGAAGTTAGAGCTGTTTTCTGATTTAGAAGTCCTCGATAATCTTCAATTACAGCTACCGTCATATAGATTGACGCCTACACGAACCATTTATTATACAGTTCAGCCCTTAGCGGGTGTTGGGCAAACATGCGTTTACTGGTGCTCAATTAGTAATGTCTTCAATTACCAAAGTCGTTCGTGCTCCAATAGCACCGAGGAAAGTAGTTGTTGTTGATGCGTGTAGACTCATATGACGATTATCGCGCCCAGTTGGAATGATCTAAGGGTTTCATTGTCTTCACCCATTATTGAATTGAGGGGCGTGAAAACTGTCACCACCGATCGGTGTCTCGGTTGATTAGCACTTGTTGCTGCAATAATGAGTCAGTTCTACTCGGTTCGATGATAGGGTTGGTAACATGATTGTGCTGGCGGTTATCGTGGGATTAATTTTCTGTCTGCTGTATCTAAGCCAGAGGCGAAGATACAAGTTTGCTGACAGTTTACCGCAGTTGAAACAGCACTATCCAGTGCTGGGGAATGGGGCAATGATGTTCGGCAAGGACGATGTGCAACGGTTCGCCATATTGGTGAAGATATTCCACGATCACGATCGGCTAGTGAGGGTATGGGCCGGTCCGAAGATGTTACTTTTCACATGCCATCCGGATCTGGTGCAACAGATATTGACGAGTTCGGTGTGTCTGGAAAAGCCGTTTCTGTATAGTTTCGCTGGCTTTGAGCATGGATTGTTCACCTCGAAATGTAGGTTGATTGATTTATCAGTTGCTAAATTATTCAAAATATAGGATAGATTATATTTCTATTGATTTGCTATTAAACGCGAAGAAATTGTTATGAGTCGTGTTCCTTCTGCCCACTTTTAGACAAATTATGGCGCACGACCCGGAAGCGTCTCAACTCGAGCTTCAACTTGCGCATTCTGCACGGCTTCATTCCCATATTTGTCCAGTGCGCCCGGAAAATGGTGGACAACCTGAACGAAAACCCGGACGGAGCGACCGTCAGTATGCACAAGTACACCTCGGTCTGCACGCTGGAGATGGCCTGCGGGACGACTCTGGGCAGTGACATCACCAAACGGGAAGGCAAGGAGGAATTTGTTGATGGGCTAGATATGTAGGTTCAATTCGGTTTCGATTAACAGAGCACATGTGAAGACAATTGACTTTTTTCTAGAGCTTTCGGCGAAGCGGCCCGAAGAATGGTTAGCGTTCATCTTTATCCGAATATCGTGTACCGGCTGACCAAATACCACTACGAGCTGCTGCATGCCAGGAAGGTTGTGTGTGACTTTTTCAATCGAGTGAGTAGCTCATTGTTTAAGTATGTATCGAGGAAAAGTACTAAATGATACATTAAACGTTCAGCTTGTGACTGAAAGACGCGTCACATTAGGCTTATGCAACAACAGCAAAACAATTGAGGAAGTGGACGAGGATCACAAGCCAAAGATTCTGATCGACAAACTGCTGAGCGTCTCCCAGGATGGCAAAAACTTCAGTGAAACGGAAATCAATGACAATATCTATGCAGTCATCACAGGGGTAAGATATTGTTGCAATGTTTTACATGAGTTGGTAGGCATAACAAGCTCTGGAAGTGCATCAAGAACACTAATTTGAGAGCCAGTAAAACGGTCAGAAGAAAATAATTGCGCTATCGAATTAACTCTCAAACCCGCAACGTCTGGTATTTACAAACGCTAAAACTACCATAGCTCCGTCATTTCAGAACACATATTTTTAATATCCATCTAAAAAAAGCGGAAACTCTTCAAGTTTTTATAATAGGATTATGAAAAATCTTTTTATTCTGAAAATATTTTGGAATGAAATGGGGTAGATTTTTGACGTTGAGAGTTAATAACAGAAGCTCTTAAAATGGACCTGAAACTCTCCTTAAAAAGAGTTAACCCCTTCGCCAATGAATACTAGGTTTTTTTTTTAACTAGTTCGTTTATTTGGGAGGCTCAATCGCGTTAGCTTTACGGAGCCGATAGTTCATTGTTCTTTGTTTGTAACAAAATTCACTTAATTCTATGTCTAGTAGGAGTTGGGCCGAATACTCGCGGCTTACTCGAGGTTAGAGAGGTACATTGTCGAAGGATAGGATCAGGGGAGGAGTTTGGGGGTAAGGTTTCGTTGTCCCATCAGAGCGTTGTCGCCAGTATGAATGGTAGTGCGGTTCTGAATACTAGGTTCGAAACAAGATGAAATTTCGCGTAAAATTTGAAAAGAGCCTTTCTCTTGGGTTTACCACGGCAACATAAACGAATTTCTCGCTAAGCTCGCAGCACAGTTCGACAGAAGATGATGTTAGCTTGCACCTGAAACAACACACTCAATAGGGAGCTGCGGCGTCGAGTTAACTGAACTTGTTTACATCTGGCAGTGGTTTGTTTACATGAACTTAGAATACAATTCAGGCATAACATTTGATAACGGCACAAAAGCATTTGTAAACAAACTTTCTAAAGCCCTTTACACGCGAACCAAAGTACGCCCACGCAAACCAATATTATTTTCGGAAAGGTGATAGTTACCCCTATCCGATGATGTTGTTGATTTGCGTGGATGTACTTTGGTTCGCGTGTAAAGGGCCTTATAAAGTTTGTTTACAAATGCTTTTGTGCCGTTATCAAATGTTATGCCTAAATTGTGAATTTTTTTGAAAATATTTTTTTTGATTTTTTAGAAAGGAAGATTTTTTAAAAGAACATCGTTGGATGACACATCTTATAGTTATTAAAATTTTAAAACTAGCATCCACTTGAATCGACTAACAGATAAAGGTAAACAAACCACTGCTGTCTGTCAAACCGATGAACGGGAGTTCATTGCATTCATTCGTGATGTCAGCGTGCAGCTTCCTATGGAAAATTAATTTGCAGCATTCGCGAAAGAGAAAATCGATGAAGAGAATCGATCAACAATGATAGGCCCTTGTCTCGTGTTGCGCGAGAAATCCGCACTTGAAATAGTCTTTGTTGAATTTAGTGAAGACGTCAAGACATGGTGGGATCAACAATGCACTCAAATCCATCGGTGCACTCGTCTATACGGTGAATACATTACAGTTCTAACATTGGAGGAGGGTAATCCGCTCATGAACTGAGCTGAAAAAAAAACTAGCTCACCAGCAGGCAAACTTACTTCATACATTGTTAGACATGTTATTTTTCAGATATGACACTATTCAAGTGTTAAAATAATTCAGCTAACTCTTCGAGTCTCCAACCGTAATCAATCAGTTTGTGGGTTTCTAGAACGGTTTCACCAACCGGTGAAATCTAACGATTTTAAATTGGCTCACTACTTGACTAGCCTATTGAACCCAAGCAAATCGATTAACGTATCCCATTCTAGTCGACATTCTAGTACTGCACAATGTTTGTTTTGATTCGCTATGAAAGTTTGACAGATACAATGAGGGGTTCGTGGATTTTCCTATGTTTCGAGGGGTGCATCGATTAGCTTGGGACTGAAGATAGTACCAGAGCTGAGCCAAAAAAATGAGCACGTTTCTTCGGGACCTACTAGTCTTTGAGTTACCTTTATGGTTTCATCGATTTAACAAAACCAAATATTTTTGATTAATTAAACTATAAGAAAGGAAAACTAATATCCTATCGAACAAGAGATTATTTTTTTTCTTTTATTTACAAGGCTTTCAGCAATTGGCTGGTTCGCCTTGGCAAACAAGAAATTAGAAATCCGAACATCTGAACATCAAAAGTCATTTCAAAATGATCGATAATACAAACCCATTTGCCGTTAACCAGCAAAATTTTGCTGGATTTTTCCGTGCTGGAAGCAAAACTAAACCTCAATTATTTTGCTGTATAGCCAGCAATATGGTTTATTTTTAAATTGAATATCATTTTTGGTTTCGAAAGAAAACTTGTTCATAATTATTAATTTGACTCGTTTATTTATTGGGCAAATATAAGAGAATATTGACGGGTAAAAATTGCAACAGTCGTATAGACAAAACTCGAGCAATTTAGCACTTGACTGCTCTGAAATCAAATATTAAAGTATTACCATATTGATTCAATGATAGAGTTCATAAATTTACTTCATAATTGCACGATGATGATGTTAAAAAAGGAACTTTCTAGCCGACTTGCTATTTCTGAACATAAAGATCAAAGGAATGTAAAACGCAAAATGATCGAAAGTTTGACAGATCATGCAATTAACTGATCGTCCAGCAAAACTTTCAGGATTGCTGTTTGTTCAGTAAAAACTGTTTGTGCTGGAAGCAGTTCAACAATCCATTTGGCTGGACCTCGATTTCAATTTTTGGTGTGTAGGTAATGTAATAATACTTCATTTTGTGAAAAATGCGATTTGGGTTTGGTGCCAAGAGTGAATTGAAGCTGCTCAAAATGAATAATCGATTATTTAGCGGAATTCATAAATATAATAAAACAAGAACAATATGTTCCACTTATTAAAAAAATCTGTACATTTTCTAAAAATCTGTAATCTGTGAGCAGTTCCACACAGATTTACAAATCGTTTCGGATCGACCTTTTACGATTATGATGAAACTTTTCACAGTTGTTTGTTATTGCCAATCATGCCATTTTACATATATGGTTCTCTAGCTTCCCTATGATTGAAAAACTGTGAAGAGCAAAGTTTAAGACAATTAATTGGGATTTTTGCTAAAAATATTTTCAAGATTGAACACTCACGAATAACATCTCAAAAGAGCGAAAATTGCTCCAATTATGCGACAAGTGAATTTTAACCTCGAAAATAACAACTTTAAGCAATTTAAGCATTATGAACTTTTTTTCTGTAATTTTAATGTGTTTTAATATTAACACTATTTTAAAGATATTCGATAACTCCCTGTCCAAGGATGCGGGGCTTTATGATGATTTGTCAAGCGTCACTATGATTATTTTTTTTTTGTAATTTGTTAAAATTGTAGTTTTTCTCCAGTTCATTGATTTGAAAGGTTCATGCGAGTTAATTTCACGGAGTCGTAAATTGTAGTTTTATCATAATTTTAATATTAGCATAAAATAAAATAGTAATTTTAAATTCGCTACAGTAATGCAAAGGTAAATAGTTTGCTTTGAGTGTAAAGTTAACTAAAGAAAGTTCTAACAGTTTTTTTTGCATTTCGAAATTTGACGGGTCATACCTCTAACATAGTAGCAGTTACAGTGTCGCATGTCCTAACAACAACTGCCTGCGACTAGTGTTCGAGGGGCCGACAGGGCTGAATACGGGTCAATACTAACAAAACTCTAACACTGAAATGACCCCGAAACTAACGTTCATCCATTGCACTAATAGTTATAATGCAGTTGTACTTTCCTAATAACCCTTCTATCACAGACAAACAGACATAACACTCGCAGGTCGTAGGACGATCAATTTGAGTGGCCCGCACGGTCGGTTCCCTTGCGTTTGACGTCTGCACACTAGCGCCATCTGTTCAGCGAACTATCCATCACATGATACTCAACAGATGGCGGTAGTGTTTTAGTGAATATGTTTTGTGGAGAGAAATATTAAATGTGTTATTTCTGATTGTCTGTGCATCTATGTTTCTTTTTCGTTGTGTGTGTGTGTGTGTGTGTGTGTGTGTGTGTGTGTGTGTGTGTGTGTGTGTGTGTGTGTGTGTGTGTGTGGGGGGGGGGATTAATGTAACCAATACTAATACCAACAATCAATACGAAACTAACGATTTAAAATTGGCTCACTACTTGACTAGCCTATTGGTCCCAAGCAAACGATTAACGTACCCCATTCTAGTCGAAATTTTAGTACTACGCAATGTTTGTTTTGATTCGCTATGAAAGTTTGACAGATAAAATGAGGGGTTATTGGAATTTCCTATGTTTCGAGGGGTGAATCGATTAACTTGGGACCGAAGAGAGTACCAGAGCTGAGCCAAAAAGTTGAGCACGTTATTTCGGGACCTTCTAGTCTTAGAGTTACATCTATGCTAATACCTTTCTCTCTGTTCTTTTATTCGTTTCCTATATCCCTTCACCATCACCCCATATCCCATCATCTTGACGAGAGATGAGTTACTTGCATGGTGCACGCCCAAGTCGTACTACAGGGTAATATCAACCGGTGGAAACTAACGATTTAAAACTGGCTCACTACTTGACTAGCCTATTGGTCCCAAGCAAATCGATTAACGTACCCCATTCTAGTTGACATTCTAGTACTAAACTATGTTTGTTTTGATTCGCTATGAAAGTTTGACAGATAAGATAAGGGGTTCGTGGATTTTCTTATGTTTCGAAGGGTGCATCGATTAGCTTGGGACTGAAGATAGTACCAGAGCTGAGCCAAAAATTTGAGCACGTTTCTTCGGGACCTTCTGGTCGTAGAGTTACCTCTATGGTAATATCATAGAGGTAACTCTAAGACCAGAAGGTCCCAAAGAAACGTGCTCAACTTTTTGGCTCAGCTCTGGTACTCGAAACATAGGAAAATCCACTAACCCCTCATTTTATCTGTCAAAAATTCATAGCGAATCAAAACAAACATTGTGTAGTACCAGAATT